TTTCAATCGAAAAGACGTAGTTATTATAGTATTCGACAAGGTGAACATCCTATTGATATGATAAATACAGAAGGAGAACATGAATACCTATATATAACCATCAAATCAAAAGACAAGACTTACAAAAAATAAAAGACCCATAAAAATATAAACATATCTTATTTGGAGGAATTCAAATTTTAATTAAGGCATACTTTCCTAAAGGAATTGAGAGCCCTATAATTATCTGGATATACGATGACAAAATTATACATTCTAAAAAAGATGTCTTATTAGGAGTCATACAAGGAAACTTATGCTATCAAACCCTAATGTTCAACTTACATCCAAACTATGTTGTTAATCTCAATGATCGACATCTAGACCGATCCTTAACTCTAAAACACAAATTAGACAGAGTAAATTAAGAGAAGTGTTGTCTATAGCATTACTTATCAGATTGCATATGCCTATAGTAATCAATATAATAACGTAGCTTTTAAGCCACATACAGACTCAGTCCATCTAAATCCACCCTTTTCCCATATAGGACAGTAATTCAACCTGAAGAAATTAATGAGCTAGAAATTACAGCACCTTCATCAAACCTTCTTCTAAATTTTGAAGAAGGCTTTACAAGCCAAAGATATCTAAAACTAACCTACTTAGAAGATAATAATATATTATCCAATTAACCATGGCATTCTCTAGACAGAAGTAGATTTTTTTTCTCAAACCAGCCCTAAGCATAAAAGAATACAATAATTACTTATAACTGGCTATTATATATCTCCAAACGAAAATTTACTATCTTACTAGACACGGGATCTCATAAATCTCATATGGATCAAAATTTAATAACACAAAATTTACAAACACTAAAAGCTCTCCATATATCTATCATGATTATCTAGTACAAAAACACCAATGTACTCATGAAGCTAACATACTTTTGGGATTTTGGGATTTAAGTAGTCATCGTATTGATTTCCAACATGTATTCTTAACAGATGATAAGAATTCAAATCGTATATTAGTAGGCATAAACTTACTTCAACAACATTCTATAACATTTGCACACGAATACATGAACATAGATAATTATACATTGCCACGCAATACGGTTTCAGAGCTACATTAATATTAAATTATATATCACCACCTTCAAAATTATTTCTATACATTTATGCGATACAGGTAGCAATATAACTATAAATTAAAATACTGTCATGATAAAAACCAACAAATAAACACTAAATTGCAAATTCATGTTTAGAAATGTTCAATGAAAGTTGGTTGTTGCGGAGAGCTTGAAAAAATTTTGATAAATATTGTAAATGATCCTCGCAGGTGAAACTATAAACTAAAATAGCGTCAAAATAACTGCGCAAAAGGAATTTAAGGTCTTTAGTACCTCATTCGTAAGTGTCATGAATTTACTAGGCACATTACACGACCTTCCACTCATATAAGCATCTCGAGTTTTAAAAGTGATCTTCCATGCTTCACTGACTCATCTATGAAATTGATGATAACCACTATAGAGGTCAATTTTGGAAAAAATAGTACCTCCGGAAAGTTTGTCCAACATGGCTTCTAAGCAAGGGACTGGAAACTGGTATTTAAATGTATATTTATTAATTGTTCTACTATCCACATAGATCGACTAACTACAATCTTATTTGGTAAAGTAGAACTGGAACAGTGCAAGGACTTAAACTATGTTGAATCACTGGCATAACAAGTAGTTCTTCTTCCATACATTGTAATGCTTGAAGCTCTCTTAGGCTCATTTTGTAATGTGAGAGATTTGATAAAAGAGCCAGAATTGAAATCAATAAGATGTTGAACTGATCGTAGAGGTGGTAGTTGGGTGAGTAAATCAGCTGGATTAATGTCCTAAAACTCCTTGAGCAACAAGTGAACCTCTTCTAGAATGTTGGCAACTGCTCCACATGCATTGCTTTTAGTGAATACTAAAGCAAAGAGGACGAGATTCTCCAAAATTGTTGATCAATGTAGGACCAGAGACCACATGCAAAACAAGCTTATCCTTAGCATTAATTTCATCTAAGATTGAAAGCGATGATAAGAGCCGAATTTTACTTCCTTTCCATTCAAAAAAGTATGTGCTCAATCTGCATTCATGCAATGCTTTTATATTGAATTGTCATGGCCAACCCAGGATAAGATGACAAACAACCATATAGAAAACATCACATAAAACCTCGAATAAGAAATGTTTCCCAATAGAGAATGTCACTTGACACATTTCAGACACAAATATATCAATTCCTTTTTAACCCAACTTATCTTGTAAGGATGTGGATGTTTAGTGGTTTTAAAATGCAAGGTTTGTGCTATATTTCAAGAAATTATGTTTGCAGTGCATCCATTATCTATCAAAGTTTACATACCTTTCCATTGAAGATGCACTTAGTACGAAACATGACATGCCTCAGTGACTCAAGTGGTTGTCAGGGAGCTATCAGTAATTTCTCCGATATACACAACTATATCGCCTTCATCACCACACAATTCCTCAACTTCATCATCTGTTGTGAACTCTTTATTCATGTTTTCATCACATATTTCACCTTCTAATAGTGGAACTTATCTAGCAGGGTTGTCGTTTGATTTGTGATTGTATTGTAGGCAACAAAAGTACTTCAAGCTAATCTGACTTGCATACGGATTTTCTTTATTTAAATTTTTAATGGGACCTGGGCCCATATTCTGGTTTCAGTAACAAGATTTAGCTTGTTGTTAATCAAGTTCTAGGTTTGAGAAGATATATCATTTGCAGAAATTATTTTATTATTTTTTTCTAGAGACTCCAAATCAAACTTTTGGTTGGGGAAGGAACTTTTGCACTGTCAAGCTAGATTTCAGCCTTTAGTGCAAAATTAACGGTTTGAGATCCGGACCATATTGAATTCAACTCCAACTTATCTTGAACATGCTCTCTTAGTCCACCAATATATCTCGCAACCAATTAATTGTAATTTCATTTTAGTTGTTTGGTTATTCGTGACATTCACAGTTCTACAACCTTATGAGCAATGTTGGTATTGCATATACAACATTTGCTCATAATCAGTGGGGGTGTGAAAAGCCCTCGAAGATGTTATTTCATGTGAAACCAGTGGCGAATGCAACCTCTCCCCTCTCGACGACGGGTCTACATTAATTGCAACCACCACGCACTTGCTCCGCCTTTCAAATGGCAAACAACATATTTCACTCGTTTCTTTGGAAGGATCTCCATATATTTGAAAAATGTCTCAATTATTGTTCCCAATCAAAATAATTCTCAATATGTAAGTGTCTGTCGAAGAAGGGGATGTCCAATTTAACTCAAAATTCTCCATATTATTTTTGTGGCGGTCATAACTATTCATAGATTTGTAAGCTTTGCCTTCTTCATCTGTATCAAATACATCCAAATGATGTATGATATTATCCTCCACTTCTAATTTAGAAGATTTTGGGTAAGGAGGAGAAACATTTCTTCCCACATTGATTTCACAAGAAATTGGTGTGGGTGACGCCCTCACAGATTTGACTTTCGGTCATAGCTATTCATAGTTTTGCAACTTTCGCCTCATCTCTATAAAAAAGCTGAAGAACTCTGTAAAGAGTTCATCGATTCTTTGTGTGATACTAGTTGAAGCCACCCGAATGGTTTCCAGATCATGATCCTCCTCGTTGTCTGGACGTTTGTTGGTTTCTGCCATGACTTCATAGGTGCATCAACTCTAACACCACTCTAGCTTAGAAGCTTAGCAGGAAAAGCAAAAAATAGAAAAGAATGTGGATGCAATCCAAACTCTAAGATTTTTGTAAACTGTATTCTATTTTTTTCCTCCCCAATAAACTCCTATATCTATCCCTTATAATTAGCATATACCAAAAATAGAAAATCAAATCAAAACAAAAAATATTCCCTATATGAAAAGATGAAAATCAACAGCTAAGACATGAAGAAAAGGACAAAGTCATAATTGGTTGTTTACTCCTTGTATGATATCCCTACCTTACATGCTCTGCATCAAAGATGGAAAGTGTAGACTTCCTCGACACTATGCCAAAAGAAGCAGCGAGCAAAAGGGGATTCGGTAAGTAGGCGGGCAAAAGTTCGGCTCTGTGCAAATTAGAGGGATCAAGGCGCGACTGTGATGTCACGAGCAAGGGGACGATTGCTTTGTGCATTCAATTGCATAACATCTACGGTTTTAACTGGAAAGGGCTAGACAAACGAGTAGTTTTCTATAACTCGTGTAGTGGGAACTCAATAGCGGGAGTAGTTTTAGGTTTTTATTTTATTTTCATTTTAATTTTAATTTTTTTCAACGGTCACTAGCTATTTCTTACTTAGAATATGTTATTACTTTTATCATATTAGGATGTCAATATATTACATGTTAACCTAATAATAGATTATGCAGTAAATATATTAGCAATTATATATAATTTGAATTTAGTATAAAACTTCATGTTTTGTGCCATTTGTTGATTTTGAAACTTAGGTCTCAAAATGCTTCGAGGCTTATGCCTCACTACACGAACAAAAAAAAAAGCTCAATATCCAATTGCCCAATCTTAAACATTGATCCTTCCAAATGGAAATAGAGCAACTTTGTGTCAGTATCCTCAAATCTTGCACTAAGGCTTGATCAGCCTGAGAACCACAACCACCCTAAAGAATGAGGATAAAAATATAACCACTAGTGAACTTAGGGGCGCTACAAAACATGCCGGAAAAATGAAAATGACGTAATTGCTGATCTCAAACATAGAGGAAAGCGATCCAAAGGACGTTTTAATCTCCTTGATGAAGTTGCAATTATTTAACATTTAATATGCTATGAAGAATTCTAATATCATCTTCACTCTTGCCCAAACAAGTACACAAGCTAAAAGACACTCTAGGCATCATAAGAAAATTCTAACAATAAATACGCTGTGATAAAACTATAAAAAAATAGTCGCCTCAAAGCTGGAACTCTGTAACAAACATACGTGGAATTCCAACTATATTTATGCTAAATGTAACAAAAGAAAAAAATTGTTCACTTGTAGCAAATTAATTTCTATATTACAGAAAAAAACTTACAAATGACAAGAATTCATATCAAATTTACATAAAAAAAGAACAAATGCAAAACTCAAACCTAAATCATAAATTTCCAGTAAGTTTTCTACCATAGAGGGAAGCCTCGGTGTCGGGAAAGCCTAGTTGCAATGCGAAAGATGAACAAAGAATAAACAGTTCAAGAAGAAATAGCAAGGGCTTTTGTCTTGAACCTGTACCTGGGGCACCTAGGGATTGCCTGACTTGGGCCCATGCCGAGCTGACCGTTGCCCTGCATCATGGGCGGGCCGTCATCGTAGATATAGCCGACAAGAAAACCACAGGCATCGCACTGCATCTTAGTGCGCTTGCGCTGGATTCCCCAGTAATTGACGGTCTCGAAGAAGGGTTTAATCTTGTCCTCCTTGGTGAAGCGAAGCTTGGAATCGTCCACCCAAGAAAAGGAAAGCGTGCCCTTGTTCCCTGCCTCGAAGTAAGCATTCGGGGGGAATAGATATGCTGCACTTAGGTTGAGATCGGTTCCGCAGTTCGTGCACCTGCAAAAATCAAACGCGTATAAATTAGGGTGGTGAAATTTCTTGGGAGATTTGAGAGTTCAAAGAGGAGAGGGAGAGGGGAAAGGAGAGAAAGAGAGGTTGCCTGTAAACGGAAGCCATGGATTCCGATGAGAAACATGAGAGGCAGACGAGTAGCGCTTATAAGGATGATTTGGGATTCTTCCAGCTTTCTCGACGGCTTCGGTTGTCGGCAGTTGAACGCGGACTTTCATCAGGACTGGGAGGATTTTTCTCTGCGGACTCGTTATTCTTAATTATTTTCAGCTTTTATTTCTAATACTCCCATAATAATTTTAAAATAACTCAAACATAAAAAATTTCGGGTTAATAATCTGAAAATAAGTCACTTCCACCAGCTGCGTTAGTAGTCCGGATAGAAAATGGGCTCTCTTTGAAACGGATGGGCGGCAACTCTATTGCAGTTACTTTGGGATTCGTGTAAATGAAGGTCGATAGATGCCTCTACACAACAATAGCTGTGCAATAAATCTTTGTACAAAATCTGATATGGTCTTCTTGCTAGGAAATCAAAATACCTGGCTGGAACGGAAAGGAATTTTAAGATATCTTTACTAAATTTTGGTGGGATGAAAATATAGTTTAAATTTTAATTGATTATTTATCCATAATATTTATTTTTTAAAAATTTTAAATATTTTTCAAGGTGACGGTGATCTGCAAGAATATTTGCAAGATGCTTATTTTGAATGAGAGAAGTATACTCCAATTTAAATATTTTTCAACTGCAGGTTTGTTTTCCTGTTAAGGTGTATGAAAAGTAATAGTAGCCACTTTCTGCTGAGGAACAATCTAAATAACTAATTTTCAGTTAAATATGAATGAGCTTTCGTCTTTTTTTTAAGATGTTTATTGGTGTTTTATTTTATTTTTTTTTTTTTTTTTTTTTTTTTGTGTTTTTCCCCTTCCTTCCACCATGGGTCACGTTTCTTGTCCCCCTTACCATCCACTTCTATTCAACCTAATTTAAGGCAAGGTCCTACACTAAGCTGGAAAGGACTGGTTTCATCGAGCCTCCTTAATTCTTCTAAATCTTCTTACTTTCATACCATGTAAGAGTGAACATGTCTTCTTTCAGATATTGAAGTTGAAGAGTCGTCCAAAACATGGAATTTTGTGCTTATTGGATACGCATTGGTTAAGTGTGTGCCTTACAATAACTTGTTGCAGGCTAGTAGGAAGATGTGGAAGCTTAAAGATACGGTTGATCATCTATCTCATACTGAAGATTTTTTCTTCTTTAAGCTTAACAATGTAGAGGATCTTGATGTGGTCTTAATGAGTGGTTTGTGGTTTATCTCTGGCCGACCATTTATTTTTAAATGTGGATGCTTGATTAAAGCCAGCTAGGGAGAATTTTAGGAAGGTTCCTACTTTGAGTGATAAGCATTCTATTTACCCTGGGTGGCAATATTATGTCTTATAATGTTGAAGTTCTTGATGGTTTAAATGTTTCTCTCTTTTTTTTTTAAATACAAGTTGTTGATCTTCAAGTTTCTACAATGCATGATATTTTGTTTCTACGCATAATTTTGATAAACCTTGAGTTCTTATAATGTTAGTGTTTTGGATCTTTTTAACTCGGAGTTGTCAACTTGTCTAATTTTTATTTAATAATTCTCTTTTCCAAATATATTTCTATTTCTTGGATCATTGAAATGATTCGAAGAATGAGATAAATTATAAAAGAAAATAATATAACAAACTTAGACAAACTATCAAAAAAAAAAAACATTGAGAATTTTTTTTAGATAGCCTTTGTGTGATAGATCGAAAGTGTATGCCCGAAATGAAATCAGATCAAAACACTTTAAATGCATATCCACAAAAAGGATCTTATAAAATTTTCCCATGTATATATGACCAAAGAACCTGAAATCATATTTTTTCTATGGGGTTAGAAGTAACTCCCAAAGGAATGTGTCCCTTTCATTAATTACATCTTGGGAAATATTCAAGAATACACTTGATTAAAGGAATCTCGCATACATTTTGATATCAAGTGAAAGAGAATATTAACGATTAATATTGTCATCTCAAATAAGATCATCCCAATGCTTCAAAGCCATGTTAGGCCACAAGATAGAGGGTGAATCGCCGTATCCTAAATAGACGGTGTTCTATCAGCAAATGGAGCTATGAAATGACGTCAACGATATTTCTAAGGAGTAGTATATCATAGTATATCAATAAACGGTGAGGAACTCCTATTTAAGAATAGATAGCCTCGTCATAATTTCATGGATCTATCATCTCAATCTATTAAGAGTCTAAGTATATTTAGTCATGGATTTAGATGACCCAACTCGACTAGAGATCCCTTTTCAACAACCTATTTGCTTCGTTCAAGGATTTCTAGTATCCCTGAAGTTAAGAGAAAGAAAAACATAATTCCCTACATCTTTATCTAGGTGGAATTAATAGAAAAGGGACTCACACTTGCAAAAAAAAATTGATAGAATGATCACATGCCTAAAATATGTTGTTATTATTTGTACGTTTAATGCATATTTTTAATGATATTACACTTTAATGAAATGTATTTTTGATCTTTTTGGTTGTAGGTATACTAAATGGAGTAAATGGAGCAAATTGAACGAACATGGAGCAAATTATAGTCAAATGAAGAAAAAAGGTGAATGTTGATCTGGTGCCTAGGCGCCAGACAACAGAGAGTGATGCCTAAACGTCTGGATCTGGCGCCTAGGTATTAGAGACGGTTTTCTAGAAGATCCATTGGATGTAGATGAATTTTAAAGAGGCGTTTGAATAAACTCTTGGGGATTTTGTGAACTTTATTTAAAGAGACTTACAAAGATTCAAAAGAGAGACTTTTGGAGGAGGAAAAGGGAGTCTTTTGTAGAGAAGTGGATTCTTCCTAGAGAGGAGAAGTCTTAAGGGCTTGCTTTGGATTTGGAGGAGAAGAGAAGAAGTGAGAGATATCTTCTTCACTACAGATTCCAAGTAAGTTTAGAGTGAATTGTAAGGAGAGTGAGGGATTCAAAGGAATTTGAAAGATTGCTGGGAAAGAGATTAAGATAGGCTGTGTAGTTTTTTTATTTTTCTTTCTCTTGTCTAGTAAACTTTTATTCATCTATAAATCCAAGTGTTGTTGTTTCTTCCTCTTAAGATCTGAGTAGTTTCCTTTGTCTTTCTCCTTGCAATGAGGAATAATTATGTGGAGGAATATAGTAGAAGTGTTTTTAAAATTCCATAAATTATGATGATTCAAACTTTATGTTTTATTTACTTGTCAATCTGGTCAATTGATTTGTTAAAATTTGTTGTAAAATATAGTGACCCGAAATGGGTTATGTTCCAACATAGGAAGAATCACATTTACCCCCATGGACGAGAATGTAGTTCTTGAGGTTAAGTGCAAATAAATAGAAAAATAAGTTTTGATGGGCATAAAATTAGAGATTTTAGGGTGATAGACTAAAATATCCAATTTGGTTCAGATGTTTGTAAACTAAAGCGAGATTTTAGCCCTCGAATGAAGGGAAGTGGGGACTTTAGAGTAAGAGCTAGTATCTTCCTAGCCTAACCACGGGTTTAAGGACCAAACTCTGGATTAGCTAAAGTTCTTTAAGCACTTAACAGAGCGTAAAGAATATAATTTCTTATATTTGGCACAATACCTTATATTTTAAAAATTATTTTCCTACACTAATTATAAACTCATTACAAGGGAAACAATGTTTTATACAGATTTGAACTCCTCATACATTATTAGCTTAAAGTAGTGGTAACTTTGCATTTTAAAACATTTTTAAATTGTGTTGCCTTTACATTTTGCATTTGCTTAGCATACTAGCATTCCTTTAATTTTTATAGGATTAGATATTCCACAAAAACTTGTGATCATTTCCTATAAGTTTTTAATAGTTAAAAGTAGGTTTTATTAAATTCAATTTTATAAGAGTTTTGGCTATCTCCGTGGGATAGATACTGGGGTTTTCAAAGAAAATATCATATTACTTGAAATGATACATATACTTGCGTAGTACCTCTAGTGTGTAAATCATTTTTATCATCATTATATAATATTTAATTTTGCACACTAGCAACTAAATATAATTTGGTCAAGCTTTTGGCCATATTTCTGAAGTTAAATAATTGCGTAATTGCGAGCCGGGTCAAGTTTTTTACGTCGTTGCTGGAGAATTGCAACAAAACCTTTTTGACTTAGGAAAATCTTAATTTTTAATTGTAGAAAAATTATAGTGTTGTTTTTATATACGTGATTATATTTAAAAATATAAAAAAGAGAGATATATTTACTATTTTAGTTAGTGTGTTTTGCTTGTTTTATTATTTATCTTTAAAAAGTGTATGTGTAGTGCAAGAATTGAAGGTTTAATACCTTACAATTCTGAGTTAGAGCGAACAATTAGAAAAATTAGAAAACAAAAACCAATTCACAATTTCTAAGAAATGAAAAATATTATACATAATAATTTTGAAAATCAAATTGATGAGAATGGTCAAAACCATTAAGAGATTATACTAACCCTATGGTAGATGAAATTCATTGAAGTATGCAAACTCCTGTTATAGAAGCAACACATTTAAATTAATACCTGCTATCATTCAAATGGTACAAAATAACCAATTTGGGGGAACTTCATCTGAAGATCCTAACTTACATCTTGTAAGTTTCTTAGAACTTTATGCTACATTTCAGTATAATGGTGTCGTTAATGATGATGTTAGAATTTGGCTTTTTCCTTTTTCCTTAAGGGATATAGCTAAGATTTTATTAAACTCATTAGAACCTGGAGTGACCTAGCACAAAAATTCTTTGCTAAGTATTTTCCACCATCAAAGACTGCTAAACTTAGAAATGTTATTACATCTTTTTGTTAGTTTGAAGGGGAATCAATATACAAGGCTTGGGCGCACTTTAAAGAACTTCTTAGGAAGTGTCCACACCATTTTTTTCTGATTATTTAATAATTCAAAGATTTTATTATGGATTAGTAGGACCTCTTAGATCTATTATTGATGATACTGTTGGTGGATCATTAATGTTAAAACCTTTTGATGAAGCAAATTCTTTAATTAAAGAAAAAGCTATGAATAATTTTTAATAGCCTTCTAAACAGTAAATCCTAAAATAATAGCTAGAGTTCATGATTCTGACATTATTTATATGTTAAAATCTTAAGAAGTTACAATATCAAGAAAGTTAGATCAATTTAAAATAAATTTATCCA